CAGTCTATTCATACTTTGTAATATCTGTGGTAAACATGGAAAAAACCATAGATTTAAGCCAATGCACTGCAGGAATAACAAAGGAATTACAATTGGCAATTGATGGAGGCTATTATAGTCCACTTTATGTAGATTTTCTTGAGCCTTTAGGATTATAAAGGTTAATAATTAATCGCATCCGAACAGGTATATCTGTTTCTTTCTTTTCATGTGAATCAGTTTTCCTGGCATACTGTATGATTGATACTAAGTTTACATTGTGAGGTTATTGATGTTAGAGGCTGTTATGAGGATTTTGGGCATCTATTTTATAATATCCATTAAAATATAACCATTCTTTTTCTTGTAATACTTTGCTGTTTTTCGTCATTATTATAATTTTTCTGATTATTCCTCTCCATTTTTAACGTTCAGAGCCACTGTTTTGAGGCAGTCCCTCTACAGCTGAAAAAGAAGGCTTTTTTGTTGTTCTTTTTTTTTTTTTTAGAGCTGATTTTTCTTAGTTAAAGATACTTGGGAAATTTCTCAATTGGATTGATCTGACTATGCTTTTCTGTTTACCTTTTCCTGTATGTGTTTGAACAGAACAACTTGGTGTTCTATGTGCTTTACATTTATCTACCTAATAAAATGTCAGAAGAAATGGAAGGGAAAATGTTTTTTTTTATGTTTTTTTTTTAAAGGCAAAATACTAATTTTTCTCAATTATGACCCTTCTTCTGCTCAATCAACATAAGGGAGTTAATTGCCCTGTGCAAGGCTTTATGTCTCTGTGCTACTGAAGGATCCCATCATTTGCATTCAAGTGTCTTTTCCTAAGCCATTTATCCACAAGATGCATTTTGGATATGACAGCTCTAAAACCTAAAGCAGCCTTGACTTACTTGAGGATACATTTCTTTTTTTTCCTTCAGGTTTTTATCACATGTATTTTCTGTTTGTTTGCTAATTCTCAGCTTTTGTTGGCAAAGTCTATGCATGTTAATCTCTATTTCATTTTTGTTCTGTCTTTGATTTCTGTTGCCTGTTTCCTATTCTTACAGTTGCATAGATTCTTTCCTTCATCTTATGCGTATTCTGTCTTTCTCCCTTTCTCCGCGCCACAGGAGTGGTATTTTTCTTAACTTTCACACTTACATTCCTGGTGTTTCTGCCATACGTGAGTATTCTTCCACTGCTTAGTTCTGCAGTAGCATGAAAGCTCCTTGGAACATCAGAGAGGATCCTAGCTATGTGTGATTGCTATGGCAGCGCTCTGAAAGTAAGGCAGGGTCTTACCAGCATTTGAAAAGCTATCAGCTTTTATGGCAGAATAATTCGGATAGCTGCGTAAGTAATACCTTATGGTGTGGCAGTCCTCCTCACCTCATCAAAATGCATATTTCGCTGCATTTCCATACCTCATTTCTGAGTGTGTGTTTTTACAACTTCAGAGAACAGAGTGCAGGCCATGTGTTGCCACAGTAGTTTAAATTTGATTCCAAAGGTCTACCTTTATAGCACAAAATAAAGCTGTTAAAGGATTTTTCTAGGAAATTACTTGGGTTCCTTGTAGTCCTTTGTGTTACTTGGCTTGATATTTGGATTGATTATCACATGGATTGATATTTTCAGTTCTTGTTCCCTGGATAATAGTGAATTTAACGGCCATGGTGTGGCAGGTAAGGCACAAAATCTGGACAAACATTGTCACTCTATTCAAACATGAATAAGTTGTTAAAATAATGCAATATGGTTTTATATTAAAGTTTTTTGATAACATACATTGCTATTCTTTTAAAGGAAAAATTAAGGATATTATACTGCATGAAATCTAGTGCTAAAAATTTTTTAAAACGTTGATTCTCATTACAGAAGTCTAACTCTCTCCTTTTCACAGTAAGATCTGAAAGAGAAACTTTGGGAATAAAATTCAAGGATCATTTTGGTAGTTTATCTGAGATTATTCGGTTAGCATCACAGAGGTTTCTGCCACATACCCTGGAATTCCCTGGGTATAAATGAAAAATCTGTATGATGCAACCATCTGGCTCTGGTAGCTTGGGAATTCAGTTCATCTTCAGTCTCAAAAGGGGACTTCTGTTTATCAAGGATATTCTGTGGCCTTTGTTATTCATAAGGACTGCTGAGTGATTCCCCCCACTGAAGGAGAATCATAGTAAGTTAGAAAATCCAGCATGGGGGTCTACAATCCCGCTTTTCCTGACCAGTGAAGGATGAAAGAGAAACCATGTTACAGGTAGTGGACATGAAGTACAGTATAGAAAAAATCATTTTTATTAGTGTTTTCCCTTTTTTGAAAATAACTGGATTTTCCATAATATATAAAATAATATCTTTAGGGCAGTTAATGTGGTAATATGTGCAATATATATTTCATCTTGAATATTGTGAAGAAAACATGTTTTGCATTTGAAAATGTGAAGTCCGTTTATTTCTGAAGTTCAGAAGAGAAACATAAATTTCTGTAATACCAAAATGATCTGGTTAAATTTTTAAGTAGTTACTAGTAGTTACTATAGTTACTAGTAGAAGTAACTAAAACTACAGGAGTATGTACTGCACCATTCCACAGTCCTCAGAAGTTTCCCACACCAGCTCAGATATTAGTCTGTATTGAATTTTACTATTCATATGTTTAGCAACCTTTGATATTTCACATACAAGAATAACAGGCTGTAATTCTTAATCAGGGAGAGCACAGTTTGGCTTGTTAGATTTCTTGTATTGATTTTGTTTTGCTTGTGCATTTCCTTTTATTACTTTTTTCTTAATTATGAATGCACATGCCATCATCTTCCTGTTTTGAGTCGTCTGTTGACAGTGATGGTACATATAGTAATCCATATGATAAAGCATATATCCAAAGTGTGAATTGCCAGTGGGGTTCAAGAATGAGTTGACTGTATTCTTGCATAACCCATAAAAAAGATCTTTGGAAGAGCCTATGTTCTTGGAATGTATTTCTGTTGTAATTCAAACTTCAACAGAGATTCTAAAAACAAACAATCTCAGTGAGATTTTTTTTTTTTAATTTTTATTTCAGAACATGAACTAACCTATTTTTTTAGGTCTAGAAACTTTAGCTTGTGTATTAGTGTTGATCGGGGTGGATTTTGTTACAGTGTTTATATATTCACATAAGGTAGTTCAGACATGTACTTAAAAAGCAAAGTTACTCTTTTCAGTGAACAATTAGTAGATAAAGTAGTAAAAGCACGGTGAAAGTTTACTGATGTAGCTGTATGCACAAATATTTCTGAACAGGTCAACTTATTGTTACACTTTGATATTTGATGTGAAAGTCAAAAACATAAATGATTTCCAAGCTAAAGTACTTGTTAAGCAAGGATTTGTTTTAAAAAATTGTTGAAATCCTTGTAAACAATGTTTTTATGACTGTAAGACGGTAAAAAAAGTATCTATATGATTTGTAGAGAACACTGATTGGTTTTAGACACTTGTAGTGGAAAAGAGAGGATTTAAGTTCTTTTGTAATTAACCTGACTGTATCCCATGCTGGTGGTGATCATCCAGTAGCTGTTTTAGTTAACTTTTTGGTGATCATTATCTGTGCACAAGTATCATAATGACAAGAAAACTTGTAGGCAAGGTAAGCAGAGTGAAATAAGATAACTCCCTGGGACCTAGCTGAACAATTTAATAGCTAGGAAATGAAAATGCTTTATCAGGTCACACTGATTTTGGCTGGAGTTTGAAATTAGTTATGTAGGTTCTTTACCCTGTACCTGTTAGTACAGTTTCAGAAATCTGATCAGGTACCTGTTGGAAATGGAGCTTTCCTTTACCTGATGTAGCTAAGGACATGCTATTAAATTCAATTAGCCTGAGTATGCAGCAAAGATTTTTTACATTTTTACATTGTTCCCTCTGAGACGTCCATTGTGAGATTTGCTGCGGGCTGTCGTTTTTGTCTGCCATCCAATGTATGTTGGCAAGGGGCTTGTGTACTAGACTTTGTGTCTGGTCACAGGGAAAATTCATGCATCTCAGCCAGACTATTTTGTTATTCCTTTAGAATTAAAAGCATATGAAACAGATGCAGCTTAATAAGTTTTTTTTTTATAAATAACATTTAAATAACTTAGAACAATAACGTTCAAATACAACTTAAAATAAAGTTTAATGCTGTAACAACAGAAAAAGCATGTATAACGATGGAAAAACAATATTAAAAGCGGTATGTCCTAATGTCCTAACAGGAATTATACAAAAGATAGGATATGTTACATAAAAAACCATAATATGTCTGAATTTTTGCTTCGTCGTTATATAAAACGCTACTTTGTGAGAAGTGAGATGAAGTACATTATTTATTCCTATTCTTATTTTACATACACTATTTTGAAACATCTTTTAGAGCAGCATTAGGTATTTGTTTCATTAATAGATAGGAAGATTTTGTAGTAGAGTAGACTTAATTTGTCCAAACTAACTCTTTTATATGAATACAACAATAAACATTTACAGGATTATATTTTTTTTCTGATCATATAGTTTATGTATAGGATATCAGTTTCTTGGGGGGAAGTATTTAAAATACTGCTCAACCTCCACGTTTACTATTGACTTGATAATCTGACAACTCATTCCAGCAGCCTTAAAGTCTGACATATTTTACACAACATTGTCATCTGCTTATTATTATTATAGCAGCCATATTTAAGAAGCAGATAGTTTTTCTATTTAAATAAAATATTATCAGATAATCAAGTCACAACTTATTCTTCAGGGTAAATTAATTTAAGAAACTACCCAGTTACAATGACTAAGATAATGATTGTACAACTCTTTAGAATTTTTTACAACTTTTAGTTAGTAAATCTGGTTTTGTGTATATTTTCAAATCTTTTTCATGTAGTCTCTTAAAAATAAACATAAATGCGCAAGTCCAGCTTGTTCAGTTTCTCAGTAGTATTCCAGCCTCTCTTGATACCTTGTCAAATAGTCTCCTTAGAAGTAATCTTCCTGCTGGAACTGTTCTGTATAGATCATTTATGATTAGGATATTGCCAGAGGAAGAAAGTGGGATGCTCTGTGTTCCTTCTTTGTTTTTTTACCTTTCATGGGAACACCTTTGTGGTTTAATGTAACAAACATCTCTTTTCCTTTGTGTGTCCATTTTGCAGAAGCGTATGTATTATAATGGTTTTCTTCAATCAGTTCTATGAAGTTGCAGTCCTCATTGCATACTTTCTGTAAAGAATGAATAATAGTGTGAATTATTTCAAACAAACTATGCAGATGCGACATTAAGGTTTTCTAAAACGGTATATTTTTAAGAGTGTACATGATGGTTGTACACCAGGAAAATTTGTACCTATACCTTTCCATACAGTCGTCCCGACTTGTTCATTGCTAGAAAGTATTCACTTTCCACTCCTTTGATTGCCACTACTCCGACTGCTACTGTTCTGATTTCTAGAATACCTGCAAAGAAACATAGTGAGGTCTGTAAAATAGTTGTTCATTTCTGCAGTCAACTTAAAAGATTTACTTAATGTTCTGTAGTGTTTTTGTATTCATTGGATGTATGTAGCAATGGTTCTGGAAAAGGTATGTGATTACTCAAGTGAAGAACAAGTTAGACTTTTAAAATCTTTTGTGTGTGAGTATTCTGAAGTTGCCATGTTAGTATAAGCAATTCCTTTATTTTCAAAAAAGTCAACATATTTTAGAATTTATCAGCTTCAGGATTTCACTTGGAAGGATTATATACGTAGTCGTCAGGGTTCACAGAATTTGTGTAAAGCCTGTATCTGAAAGACTTGTTTAGCTGTATCATCTCCTTGAGCAAGAGTAAACCTTAGAACTTGCAAATGATAGAAAACAGACCACAGTGTCTTAAAATAAGATAAAGGATTTGCTTGACCCTGCATGCTTTTAAAATGGATAGGAGCTCTAAAGATACCTGCATTTGAAAGCAATTAAAAGCTACTGTGAGATCTTACTCAAATATTTTACACAGAAAACAGAATTATCTTATACAAATTATTTTATATTCATGTGACTGATGAGTATCTGTAACAACTTTTTTACTGTGATTAATACAGTACACTTAGGTTACTTGTAACATAAAATGTATATTTCTGTAAGTTTAAAAAAAAAAGACTGAGCGAAAGCAGGAGGATTGTATAAGATATAAAGGAAAGTTTTCAAATTTAAATATTGTTGTTGTTTTAGGTAATTATTTAGACTTCTGAATTTTAGCTTTTTTTTGGTCACCTACAAAACTGTGTGTCGTAGGATTTGCCTCATTCCCCCAAAAGGAAGGGTCTTTCAGCCAGCCAGCTACAGGCAGGTTCCAGCAGTTGAAAGAGAGATAGTAAATACTGCATTTCTGCCAGGACTATTTACATGTGTTGCTCTTCTTTTCCCCCAAAAATGTTTTGTCCCAAAGATCCAGAATTAACTCCTGAGTGCATCTATCCTTAGCCACTGATCTCATAGTGGCTGCATCATTCCAGTTTCAGTGGGAGTTTGTGTGGTAGAGCCAAACTGTGTTAGACTATCACCTGGCAGAGGGCCTTCCTCTCAAAAAAAATCTTTTTCTTCTTTTTCTTGCATTCAAGTTTGTATTGACTCTTCCCATCTGTCACAAGTAATGATGAATTTTCCTTAGTTTTTTCAAAGATTGCATGAGTATGTTTGAAATTACTCTTTATTTATACTTTTTTTGCTAACTTTTTTGTTTCATTTTACTTTCTTCCTGGTCCTTGACTTACTCGTGTGTGCGCTCTATCCTGTTATTGCTTGCTTTTTTTTCCTATGACTAGTTCAGTTACCTCTTTTCTTGGTATGTGCTTTGCTGGACATTTATATCTGTGTGCACTTAGTTCTGTGCTTCTCTGTAAAGTTAAAGCAACTTTAAATACAACTCTCTGAATTCTTTGACAAGTTCCACTCTGCAGCAGGCACAGCAACAATTCCTGCAAGGGGCAATTTCTAACCGAAACTTAAAAAATTATATTAGCTTTCATTTAAATTTCACTTGAGGAAACCACAGTGAAGGCTGAAAAACAGATGAACATCTGCCTCTAACCAAACAACAGATGAGTGGAGGGGGATCTCTGGGTCATCAAGTCCAGTCCTCTCCTAGCCTGGGAATAACATTGGATAATTCTCTTTTTATAAACTTTGCCAATACTAAATAGGAGTTGCTATTTCTTTGCCCTGAGTATTTCCACCGAAGGCTATTCAGAGCTTGATTTATTTTAATGGCTAGAGACTGTCTAGTAATTTGCCGGCTGCATGTTTTCAGGGACAGCTTATGTTCATTTTTCCTTTTGCCTATGTTGGCTGTTATCGTGAGGAGAGTTCTTTTCAAAAATGTTTCAGTTTTCTGTTTCTACAGCAGTAAAAAGTGGAAGATTCAGATGATTCTGATTATGCTAATAAGAATCAAGATTTCCTTGAGTAAGCTGCAGTTGGCTGAAATCACAACAGTAAGAAATACTGCTACTTTTAAAAAGGAGATGCCAAAAGCTTTTGCCCAAGACAATGTTATTATTAGAATTATACGTTATTTTAGGTAGGTTTTTTTTTTTTTTCCTCTGAAGTGGATGTTGAAATTCATACTAACTTTTGTGAATTACTTTGTTTTGCATTTTGGTACTTGTTTTTATATTTTATTTTCAGTGCAAACGTGAATGTCTTGCATGTGGAAACTTTACAGGAGAGCTTTGCTTGCTGTCATTAAAGAATCAATAATCATAACCATGTTGGTTAACAAATTACCAAAAAAGTTCTTGAACTAATCTCAGACACTCAGTTGAAACTGACTGTAGTTTTTCCTTAGAAGATGGTGACTATAGATACTGGGCGGAGTGTGTTCGACTCTTGGGGTATTTAAAAATCACACAGTTGATATAAAATCCACTAGGAAAAAAAAATCAGAAACAAAAACACCATTTGGGCCAGCACAACAATTTTAGTGGATGGAAATATATCAGTTTTTGAAGATAATTTGCCAAATAAATGAGCTGAGTTTACTGGCAATGTCATCTAGGATGATGGCCTCTCAGTGCTTTACAAATTTCTGGGTTTATTCCATGACTGTGACCTGGAGGACGGGGCTGTACCTTGGTCTGGAGATCTAGGTAGAAAAACGGTGGGTTTTTTTGCTATCGCACTGATGCAGAATTGAACATTCTCATGTCAGATGGTACTTTCTTTTCAGCACATGGTGTTGAATAGCATTGTTGTGAATCACCTGATATTGGTATCTTTTTCTGTTGTAATTAATAATTTCACTTTTTTTTTTTTTTGGCTTTTAAAACGTATTTTTAGTAATACGTAATAAAACATTTTAATAATCACATTTTCTTAAGGTAAACTTTTGCTTGTGTTACTCTAGAATCTTTTTGCAAATAATGTTAAACAAATTTCTAACTGGTTGCAGCGATTGCTAACTTGGCATGGCTTTATGTTTGCCCACAATATCCTTCATCTCTTATCTTCTCTGAAGTAATGAAAGCATTGTGATTTTGGAAGATGGGGGGTGGGGGATGTCATTAATCATTTTACTGCCAGAAGGCTGAAAGATTACAAAAGCATAATATAAACAAGTTCTTCATGCTTCTGAGAGCTGTAAAGTAAACAGTAAGTGCAGCAAGTTACTGAAGACTGAGTAGATGGGAACAACCTGCTCAATGAAGCTTCTTTGGAACAAAAATAAACCAAAACCCTGCTGAGAATAGACATTTTTTCACCTGCTAGGGAGCACGAAAACATAGAAGGAGATTTTAGAGTACGTATTTTGTTGAGTCTCTCATCAGCTGTTTCTTTTTTCGTGATATTTCATGTATTGCTGATATTTGTGGAATATTTCATTGTGTTTTCTGGTCACTGCTCCTGCATTTGTTAGTGTTAATATTTCTGTAGACAGTAATATGAAGAAAAAGTTTGTCATCAAATACATTTTTTTTTAGGCAGGCATACAGCAATTTTATCCCAGCATTTTTTTTTCTATTAAGTACATAAATAAGAGAAGATATTTAGCGATTAGCCAGAATTAGCTGGAAACTTAGCTGCTGTGGCTTTTAAGACTACTATATGCTGGAAAGAAGGAAGGAATATCCTCTTTAAAAAAAAAAAAAAAAAAAAGGCCTGTGTTAAGAGACTTTGTATCCATGCATGCCTTTATTGCTCATGCATAGACTATCTGAAGCACTCTGGTTATAAATATGAGTAAAAATGATCTGCATATAAACAATAGATCTGTCAAACATTTTCAGTAGTCCAGTTGAAGCTACCGCTTCAGTGCGGTGCCAAACATCTGGATATCATGGACAAATGTCCAAAGCAGTCAAAATTCCTGTTTTCCTCCTGTACCTATTTTTCCAGCAGGAAAATTGTAGTTGTGTCAGGAAACATGAGAGACGATACAGATATATTCCTCAAGGACTTGATGCAGCGTATTTTTTTGGTCGGGAAGCTCGAGTAGCAGAGTTTGCTTCTAAGACCGCGTGTCTGTATTCAGAAGAGCTGTTTGGTTAAGCATAAATTACTGATGGTTAATTCCTCTGCATGCAATTCTTCGGACACAAAAGTAGTAGGCATGCTATTTAAAACTTCAACTATTTGATAAACAGAAACCATCTATTTTTCCACTTTGAATTTTGCTCTATTGATCATTTTAAAGATGGATTTCTTGAGATTGTATTACCTGTAGTTTTCTTAGCTGTTTGTTAGACTCTGCAACAGTTTAATACATGGACTGCTAGATAGGACAACTTAATAATAAACCATTAGATTGGTGCTGTGCAACAGCTGACAGGTAATATCGTTATGTAAGTTAAGCCATGTGAAGGTTTCTGAAGGAAACCACCAGCTTGGTAACTGCTTTGAAGAGAGCATACAGAGGATAAGATGAGAACCAAATAGAAGAAGGTAAACACAATAAGGAATTAAAATGATTGTTGAGAAAAGCTGCTGTTTTACTTACAAGATCTGTTCCTTGCATTTCTACTTAGACTTGTGAGTGTTTACCTTTATGACAGAAAAGGAAGGAATAAGCTAAATTCCGCTCTTAAGTCTGCATTGTTTGAAGTATTTATTCAGTTTCACTTGCATCATCAAACATATAGTTTGACCTTCTGAATATGTATTACTAGTGCAAAGAAAAGCCTGGTTTGAATTTCCAGGCTGATGTTTAGGAAATGAACCTCTCTTATAACCCTAACCCATTTAATCTGCAATCTGAGTGAGAAATATTAAAATACCTTTTCCAGTTACTTTGAGAAGTGAATGAGAAACATAAAATAGTGCACATAACCTTTACCAAGTATTCTCAACTTATCTCCACTAAGCATTGTAGCAAGGATTTCAGTAACAATCTTCTCTTGACTAAAAATGAATACGATTCTGTATTGTCAAAAAGAAATTGTTCGGTATGTCTGAGAATACTTCTCTTTATTGTTCAACCTCTT